AGACCTTGGAATTGCAAAAACGCAGATAGGGACCCTTGACAACTTCACTTTGGGTTTTGACAACTTCAGGACATATTATTCTTGTCAAAACCCAAAGTGAAGTTGTCAAGGGTCCCCATCTGCGTTTTTACAATTCCAAAGTCTTTTTTTGCAATTTCTCCAAAAAAAAAATGGCGTGTGCTAGTTCCCCGTTTTTAGGAATTAAGGTTTTTTATGGCCAGACTAATTAAGAGTTAGTATAAATAAGCATAAATAGAGCACTTGAGTCTAGACTGAGTATCGAAATTCAAAAGTGCGATGAGGTTGAATAAAAGTTTAGGACTCAAATCTTCCTAACACAGCAAAGAAAAATGTCAGCATAACTAAATGATATAAAATCCTGAAATTTAGCATCACGCCAATTTGTCAGGAACTTATGATTTAATGACATAAAATTCCTATTTTAAGCATATTTTAAATGTAAGAATTCAACATTATGGTAAAAATAATTATCCCATCTTGTATAAATATTTATTAATTAATAATCGTATTAATTATATTTTGAATGAAAAAAGTGAAGCCATGTTCTTTTTCTTACTTAAAAAAAAAAACTTAGAAGATACTGATAATGTGTATTTAAAGGGGTCTTAATCAAGGACCAAGTCCGGCATCAATTGAAAGTAACGTGAGGGCAATAATGGTGTTGGGTATAAAATATAAAGTTTGGGGGGAAAAGGGCAATCACTTCCGTCCCCATCATACTCAATATTCATACGGATGGTCCAAAATGGCAGGCTCCACTGCGGAACGTAAATTCCAATTCAAATAATTTCCCATCACTGCATTATCCTTTGGATTTGTGGGACGTATTTGGTCATCATTTTGTCCGGTTATAAGCAACCAAGCCAAAGTGTAAATGAATGGCAGTGATTGATTACCCATCTTTAGTTCTCATTCTGCATTTATTTTGAATTAAGCCTTTTCAATTTCCTCTGCCTCTGATATTCTTCTGCTAGCCTTTTTTATTGTTTAATAACCATTTCCTGATGATAAAATCACGTAAAGCAAATTAAATACTATTGTAGAGATTCCTCACGGGAAAAAAAAAATCCCTCAGAGAAGCGCAGGAGAATACGAGAGATCGTGTGGATTAGCGGTGAACAACTGTGATTTTAGATAATCGTAAATTTTATAAGTGATACTGACTATAAGTGATACTGGTTAATCGTGATTTCTGTTTGGATTTTTTTTTTATAAGTAATTTTAAGAATTGTGATTATGTTTGGTTTTTATTTATTAAAATTACTTATGGGTGTATAATTACTAAAAAGGACATGAAGTTAATAAGGTTGTTTACATTTTCATAATTATTATATTTAATAATAAATTTTATTAATATAATTTAATAAATGACATGAATATTTAAATATTATTTTTATTTTAAAATTATTATTATTTAAAATCACTTACAAAATTTATGTGTAGTACAAATATTAAATAAAAGACCCCATATAAATAAAAGATGAACGAAAATATAAAAAAAAATTTGATTAGCAATTTTAGTAACATAGATAAGGAAATTGAATCTTCAATCAAAATTATAACTAAGAAATAAAATTTAAAAGAAAAACAGTTTCATATTGTATGTTTTTTTAAAAAATTAAAATAATTACCATTAGAATGAGGGGTAGATTGGAGAAAATTTAGTTACTGAAAATTCATCGGGATTTTTCAAACGCATAAGCTATCTTTTGTTGCTTATCTTAAAAGTGCGGTGGAAGGTTAAAATCACGATTCATCAGGATTCTATAAAAATTATCCAAACACCCTAACTATGCTTCATAAGCACTTATTTAAATTTAAACGGACTTATTTGAGATCCCACCGCTTAACCAAACAGGCTCTAAAAGGATTTGAATCCTTGGACGCCGTTTGTGGCCGGCGAGAGCAAATAATTGAATGCGGCCGTGAATTGGAATATTTGAACAGATGTGGCGAAATACGCTGCACATCAAATAACCAAATAGAATAACTTTAAAGGTTTTCGTCTGGACTTCGTTCGCTTTTGTCCTTCAAATTTCTGACACACTGTAGCTAAAGAATCGCATAAAGTGAGAACTGGCACGTCTTTTTAATCATAAATGCATACTTTACTTTAGAAAAATGAATGGAATGAACTTGAACTCTACCTCCACGTTTGTCTAGGAGGGTTTAAATTTTTTTTTATAAACACGTTTTACATAAATCAAGATAAAACTCTTCTAATATATTTATCTTCTATTCTATAAATTATTATTAAAAAACTATTTATAAACTGTTCTAAACAGGTCCTATATGGGATACGAGATCAAAAGTTGTGCCACAAAATACCGAGGTGAGCTTTACAATTTATGTAATACATATAGCTTTTTTTTTTTTTAATATACTTATTATTCCTTCGTCATGGATAATGAAACGTGATTTTATGCACACTCGCAGCACAGCCCACTGTTGTGGCTGTGCACCGCTTAATAGTGAGGGGTTGGGAGGGTCTTAATCTCTCTGGATGGGTTTTAGAAGAGGTTTTTTAATGAATCTGTAGGATGCCAGACGCTGCACTCTTTCAAACAAAAAAAGAAGTGCTTTCACTATTAAGGGCCAATGACCCTACATGCAATGAACCCAACAGCTTACCAACAGAGTCAGGTCAACGAGAAATCGAACAAGGGCATGTGACTTTAAAATTAAAGATACAACTAGCATGTTTAAAAATCTGTAGCCAGTAAACAGAAGGGGGGGGATGAAATGGAGATAAATTTTTTTGGGGGGTGGGGAATAAGCAATTGATATAAGGAAATGACAATTGAATTTAAAAGATTAATTTAATCACAATATGTAAGATCTCAAAATACTTTGAAACACCATCAAGATCCTAAAAGGCTAAAGCCACTTATATCTTAAAATAATATATCCTTACATCGGAAAAAGAGATGGGAATGGCGACAGGGATAAATAATCCGTCCTTTAATTGGAAAATAACCCCGCAAGGTCACAATGAACAGTGCTTCAAATTCCATTTCAGTTTCCACTTGCCATTGACCAATGTATCTAGTTGGGCCTATATTTTCATTTGAGCCCAATGGGCCGATGGCTCCCCCAAAAGGATGCAATCGGTCTTTATGGGGCGCCACAGCTGCCGGGGCCAATTGAGTTTTTTTTTTTTTTTTTTTTGTGGTGCCAGCCAGTGGAGAAATTTGCATGTACATACATTTCCTTTTCATTTACCAACAGGAGTTGGGTCTAGCGGAAGAGATTAGTTCCTCATAACCTGACGAATCAAGATTCGAATCTCCGTTTGGAGAGAGGTATCCACATTTCCTTTTCATTTTACTAGCAGTTTTTTCTCCATATACTCTTTACCAAAAAGTTTAAAAATCACATCTTCACATTTATTTTTAAAAAAAATCAGAAAGACATTTGATGCTATTGGATTATAAGACTCTGATATCTTTCACTACACATACACTAAAGAAGCTGATGGAGTGATTTTTAGTAAGCCATAATTTATTGAATGACTATGTTATTAAGACTTACATTTGATTCGGCTCAGGTGCAAATTAAAACTCTGAGATTAATATATTGCTATGCTGAGCCATATTCACAGTGTACCGCCACCTGTACCTTGACATCGTCCTCGTCCATCTTCAAAGTCAAAACTCAAAACAAAAATGAGCTGAAAAACCACAGGGGATTCGGGGACCCAGAATAATAAAAACAATACCGGCGTGCGCGAAGCTTCCCTTATTTACACTGCATGAGCTGTCTCTTGGTAGCCACGGCGTTAATCGTTTCCCTTTATGCAAAACATCCAGTACGGTACAGTGACCTCCATCCACCTCCAAATCTTCCTGAATCCCGAGGCACTTTCCCCTCCACCATCTTTTTCTTCTCACTTTTTGATCTTCCCTCTCTTTCTTAACGTAGATGTGCCACCTCCATTTTACGAAAAGGGTTGTTTGTTAAAATGTTTAGAAATTAGTATGACCGTTAAAAAAAAAAAGGTGATTTTACTTTGCAATCAATGTATAGATCTAGTCATATCCACGTTCAAACAGCGTGTATATTGAATAAATTCAAGAAGCAGGGAAGGAAAAAAGAAGCAGCAAAGAGTTCGTCTACAGGTGATTTTCTTATTTTGCAAGGGCAATATAATAAATCATGTCTTATACTCCTCCGGTCCTAATTATAAAACCCAATTTGACTTTTTATTTGGTCCTAATTATAAGACCCAATCCATTTTGTCTCTTATATTTATGCATTTTTTTCTAAGATAATCCTTCTAATAATGATAGTTTTAGCCAATATACTTAATTAGCAAGGATATTTTAAGAATGACAACACTTATTTATTATAAATAACCAACTTAACTTACTTCCTTAATCTCCTCAAATAAGTCAATTGGGTCTTATAATTAGGACCGGAGGAGTACTTAATTATATTGGCGATGGATGAACTATAATACTCCTCCGGTCCTAATTATAAGACCCAATTGACTTATTTGAGGAGATTAATGAAGTAAGTTAAGTTGGTTATTTATAATAAATAAGTGTTGTTATTCCTAAAATATCCTTGCTAATTAAGTATATTGGCTAAAACTATCATTATTAGAAGGATTATCTTGGAAAAAAATGCATAAATATAAGAGAGAAAATGGATTAGGTCTTATAATTAGGACCAAATAAAAAATCAAATTGGGTCTTATAATAAGGACCGGAGGAGTACTAATTGCCTATCAATTTTACATTATGAATGGATGGAATTGGGAATAAGAAATGACCGTTTCAATCCAGAGGCCGAAGACAGTTTAAATCCTAATTTATAAGGAGGAAAACAAATGGAATCGGGCTTATGCGGAAAACTCGGCATAAATAGCAAGAACAGTGAACTGTTATCATTGACCAGACTTCCTATAACTCTGTCTCAACTGCCCCGTTCGAGCACTCCTCTCTCCCCACTCTCCCCCCAGTGTAGGCTACTAGAGAATGGCAAAGTGTCACCGGAACAACGTCAGACCATTGATTATTGATCGCCACGATCCTACTACGAATGCAGCCATCGGCGGCCACTTCTGCCTATGGAATGCGCTCTCGGCCTCCTCATTTCGCCGCATCATTTTTGATGCCGTGAGCTGCGGCGACAGCTCCCGTTATCAGCACTCCCATTGCGACGAATTCAGCTCCACTGCCTCAACCACGATATCAACCTCTGGGAACCCGAAGGAGAAGCTCTGAGAACAGATGCAGGGACCATCCAACTCCAAGCGTAACTCCAATGAGAAGTCCAAAAAACTATCGGATCTTCTGCATATGGGAGACTCCCAGAATCGGGTCGAAACGAAAAAGAAGGAATAGGCATCGGAGGAGTGCAAGAGTTGCAAGTAAAGGACTTGAGGAAGCGGCAAGTGGCGGGATCAAATGTTAGACTGCTCGCCAAGGAAAACTTGAAAGTCAGAGGGACTCTCGCAATGCTTGGAGTCATTCCTCCTCTGGTTGGGATGCTTGACTTGGAAGACGCCAACTCTCAAATCGCTTCTGTGTATGCGTTGCTCAGTTTAGAGTTCGGCAATGACGCGTGAGTTCAGTTTTCATCCAATGGTTTCAGTTCCCAGTTTTCTTAAATTATGTTACATCATTTTCTTCCTTCAACTCATTTAGCATGTAGGTGGTCATATGGTGTTTATCATGCTTTTCTTTGTTGATTGCATGTCGGCTTCTCTTCATATTTTAGATTTTATTGTCTTTTCACCTTGATGATCAATTATGTGCGAATGTGGCTAGTTTCTTTTTCTTTTTCTCCCTTTTGCACCTAATAATTCTTACTTCGTTCCTATGTTTATGTTCACCCAGGCTTTCGTTAGTTCTATATATATATATTTATTTATTTATTTATGCTGTTAAACTAGGTTTTTTTTCCAATAATAAGCCTGCCCTTTTCATTTTGATAGAACTTTCTGGCTTCCTGGTCGATTTCAGGCTCTTAACTTCTGTTCTGACTGTGTTTGTTTGTTTCAATCGTTTCTTGTACAGAAATCAAGCAACCATTGTCAAAGTTGGCGCTGTTCACAAGATGCTAAAACTCATTAAATCTCCTACTACTCTGGATTCTTCAATCTCTGAAGCGATTGTTGCAAATTTCCTTAGATTGAGTGCTTTAGATTCAATTATTGGATCCTTTGGGGCAATACCTGTCCTTGGTAGAGCCCTTAAAAATTTAGAGAATACATGTAGCCCGCACACTAAGCTAGATGCTCCGCGAGCACTGTACAATCTCTCCATCTTCCCAACCAGTATGTCATTCATTTTGGAAACCGATTTGGCTCCACATCTGATCAACACAGTAGGAGACGTGGAGGTGAGTGAAAGGGTCCTTCCCATCTTGAGCAATCTGGCATCAACACCAGAGGGTCAAAAAGCTATCGGTGCTGCGCCAGATGCATTCCCCAATTCTGATTGATATATTAAAAACTGGAATGATGCACCAGGATGCCAAAAGAAGGCATTTTACATTTTGATGATTATGGCACACAAAGCTTATGGCCACAAGCAGGCCATGATTGAAGCTGGGATTGTATCATCATTGCTAGAGTTGACACTTATGGGTACCCCACTGGCACAAAAAAGAGCCTCAAGGACATTACAGGTTTTCGGGAGTTGTACATGCAAATGTCTCTACTCCTATGTGTGGCTCTTCATCATCTTGTACAAAGCCTCACGAAGGTGTTAGAAGGTTCGTGGAGAGAGAGGAGGAGATGATGAGCGAGGAGAAGAAAGCAGTGAAGCAGTTAGTCCGACAGAGTTTGCAGAACAACATGAGGAAAATTTAAAGAGGGCTAACATCCCTCAGGAGTTTGTTCCATCAGAACATTTCAAGTCACTCACTTCAAGTTCGACTTCAAAGAGCCTGTCGTTTTGAACATTTTTAGTTGATGAAGGGGATGTCGAATTTGAAGAGGATAAACCATGTAGTTGATTTTCTTAAAATCATAATTTTACTGAGCTTTTGATCCTGTAGCTATTTGCTAGCACATGTAAAATATTGATAATTTTAATTATTAATAACATATAATAATCCAAATGCTTCTTTGCTTCCTTTTCTTTCTGAGTGGGTCTCAGTGGCAGATTCTATGTATTCAATATGATTGCCAATCCTCTAAACATGAAAGCTTTCTGTTTCAGACCTGAAGGCACGATCGAAATTCTTGTGATCATTTTGGAGGGATTCGTATCTATAGGTGGTATGACATGACTGGAGGATAAAATCACAAGTTCATAACTGACAACTCTAAATTCAAGATGCTTGGACGAAAAAATGTTACTGTCAAGTTTCTTTTTAAAATAACGATAAATATACGAGTCTTATTTTCTGCTTGAGAGATTCTTCCCTTGTTGCTTTCAAGTCATGGAAACATTTATTTCTTGCCAGTGTCCTACTAAAGACATAGCTATTTTACTTTTCCTTTTTTTCTTTTGTGAGTGACATTTCACTATTTCTAATTGATGTTATAGAGCATGATTTTATCTCCCACGTTAGCAGGGACTCTTACTGCAATTATTTCCTTTTATAGTTTATCGATTCCATGTGTCAAGTCTTTTGGAATCTGATAGGACCCTCTTATACACAAACTTACAATGAGACTAAAAGTCCAAAATAAACAGGGAACACTTGAGATTGATATGGTTTTACTGAATAACAAGGGAGTAGATGACTTTTACACACTGATTCAAAAGCTATATAACCTACAATGGAAGTGACGGTTACAAACTAATAAGGAACAGAACAAGATACACAAACAGAACAAGATACTACACAATGGACTGATAAACTTGCCAAACTTTCGAGAGGTTGGCTCTCTCCACCCTAAGGGCCAAGATCACAGTTCAAATTCTCCACCCCCCCGCTGAACCCCAAAGAGATGGTTTATAGACCTGAAAAGTGAGTTTCACCACCCCCAATTCATAGACCTTGACTATACCAGTCCTATACCTACCCTACTCCCTATTCTTTCTTCAGAATAGCAAGTCCAGCTTCTGCACAACAAAAAGTAATTTTCCCTTTTTATGCATCTTCCTAAACGTGATCCTATCAGAATCTTTAAATGATAAGAGCTTATGGAATTAATTAGGCATTCACAGTGGGATCTGTAAGCTATTAACCCCCTTACCTCTATTAGTTTAAGTACGCCATTAAATACTGCCTGTTTAATGCCGAGACCTATTTCACTGAACCATTTTCTTACAGCAGCTCCTCACAGATCTCAAGGGGAATGGAAAGATCCCACGTGGGATCTAGTTGTTGAGAGCTGACCTGTTCTTTGCAAAAAAATATCAATGCCATTTCGTCTTAACCATGTTAGGTTTTGTGGGGTTCAGTAACCTGTAACTTCCTGATGGCTGCTTTATTTTTTCTCTGACTCTTGGGTAAACATTCTAAGCTACAGTGATTATTGGTTTATAGTTTTTGTGACTCTCAAGTTATATTTGCTGTGAAAGACAGAGTTCAAGCACAGTCAGTTAGAGCGACGAAAATGAAAGTTGACAATTTGTTTCATAGATAATATGCAAAAATCAGAAAATGGCTCTGAAGCTTCATGATACATTAGGGTAAAAACTTGAACACCTGAAGAGTAATTGCCACTATAGTACTGTGCAACACAGAAGGAAATTTCTGGGTGTTTAGCCAAATGAGAACACTAAATTTATGCTTGTTTATGCTACGTGATATATCAAATACAAGAAGGGTGTAGGAAATTATTAAAGTACCGCACATGGTGCTACTTCATTTGTACAATAGTCAAGGACAGCAGGACTGTACATCATATGAGATCCACAAAATGGGAATGAAATGGTAAGCCTGTCTATGTGAAATAAATAAATAAGCATCCAACAGTACAATATGAAGTCCGCCTACGTTGAAAGAACATTGCCAAAACAACTTAGTTTTCAATAACCCTAGACTTATCACCAAACCCTTAAGTTCTCTACACCCTCCGCAGAGTTGTCACAGTTAGTGCAATTGCCTTTAATTCAATGCTTTCAACAATAAAATGTCTTGTGGGACTACGTGGTTCCATTTTTGTTGCTTTTCCAGGAGTAAAGGGAGAGTATGGTATGATTTCAGCTCTTTTTATGCAGATGGTGACCCTTTGAACGTATAGATATATTAAGTAAATAAAAGCTTTGAAAATGAGCAGAAGCTAAAGGTCATAGGAGGAAACTGATAGAATGATTGCAAAATGTTATTCTCAGCAACCAACCGCCGATTGAGCAATTAGCAAAAAGAAAAGCATACCTTTTAAGGGTAAAAGCTTCTGAAGGATCATCACGCGCGCGCACTTTCATCTAGGAGATAATCTAGAAAGAGAGGCAACGAGATGTGAAAGTGAGGTCCAGTGTAGAATTCATACGTGGATTCCATCCTAATGTCCATGTCTCTTTAAAAGATCCTTTTTATGACTCTACAGGTATAAACCCACACAGGCATGGCATAAGACTATTCTGTTATCTCAATGATACCCAGAATTTTATTACAACCTTGGTCCTTATATGGTCGTTGATCAAATTTGATACAAGGTACTTCTACCCATATTTAGGTTGTTCACATTGTGATTTTCTCCAATTATCAACAAGTATCTGGAGGTACACTGAGTTGTGCTCTTCCTTTCATTTGCTCAATGTGGGCATGCATTGAATTTTTCAAGATTGCAGAAGGGGAGGCCAAAAAAGAAAGAGACAGAAATCAAAATCCATCTATGGCTTTAAAGCATGTGACCCCAAAATAACGGTAATATTAATCAAGCAAAACATATTCAATAGTCAATGTATATCTCCCTCTAGAACTGGGAGTAGTGAGTAGCCACCAAAAATTTTCAAACGCATACCACAAACCTGTCAGATCAAATTTAGCAATTGACGTACTACTTCCGGTCATAAAAATAAGATTCACTTTGGTGATATAATATGTAGTACAAAGTTAATCTTATATTTAGAGGACCGAAAGTAACATTAGAAATAACGCTAAAGCAAGTATTTGAATAAATGATCTTGGCTTCTAGTTTCCAACTTGCTACTTACCTCCTGTTGTCCCCAAGCAATCCGAGTATATTTCTTATCTTGACTTTGCAGTTAGGCTTCTACGTCCACGTGTTGGCATCGGGTTCTTTGATCCTTCTCACTCCCTCCTACTAAGAGCCCACTCAAAATGAAACCAACGTCGGCATGAAGTTGAAAATGCAATTACCTCGTCTTCAGATCATATATCACGTCTCACCTCTAATAATCACTGGATCTGACTCGACTCTCATCCACAGCAACTCACCTATAGTTTATTCTAGTTAATAATATCACATCATGTACTGGTACTATAACATGTGTAGCAATAATTTTATTCTAATCACAGCTTAAATCGCATATATGCAATGGGAATCCAATACCATCAGAAATAGATAACTCATTCGATAATTCATTATAGGGAAGTTGATCTGTACTCGTGTCCAAAAAACTTGAAAGTGGAAGCACATTAAGATAGTACCGATTTTAGCACAGCATGAATTAGAGTGAGATTCGGCCCTTGTTTTCACCAAGATCTAGGAAAACGCGAAGTGTATATATTAGACATACAAGAAGGGTCAAACTCATAATGTAGACATCATAGACATTCTAGGTTAATAAAAAACGTAAATCTGAAAAAATCGATCACAAGATCTGGAGCAGTCAAGTGTATGTCTTGTTACCCTTCAGAGAGGCAGGATAGGCATAGGAAAAAGTAAAGAGATTAAAGCCTTTGAGCATCAGTTAACCATTCACAGTTCATTTACAATGCCAGAAACTCACCCCACAGCTAAAGGGCATCATACAAATAAATAATTATCCCCGTGCGTGTGAGAGAGAGGGGAGAGGGAGGTAGGCAGGGATTTATTCACCTGTAACATGTTGCTTACAGCATCTGGCGACCAAGTGCAATCTCAGATCTTGCCAAGTGTATGAGAAGCATACAAAGACAAGAGTGCAAACGGTGGTATTTTGAATATTGTATGAATGGGAACTCATAGCAAAGTCCTCATATCTATTACATTACTCACTTTTCTCTATATTTATTTGTAAGTCCACTCGAAAGAATTTAAATGCTACGCTAGCAAAACATAAAACATATAGTAATACACTGCCAATAAACTTCCACTAACCTCAAGATTGCCTGTTACCAATAATGCATATAAATGGCTGTACAAATCCTTGTCTTCGTCATGTGCTGCAGTCTAATAATTGTTCCACTCTCAATGGTCTCGGCTTGTTAAGCAGAAGTTCCCGGCAGAGGTCTAACAATCTGCAAAAGACTGTAGATATCCCATTAAAAAAAAAAAAAATACTAGAATTGCATCGTGAGAACTGCAAAGTAATGCCGCCTGGTAGAGTTATATGAGAATTGCATTGTGCAGCCTATTTTGAAGGTAGCTCCCATAAATCTGCCTACAGATAAATTTGAGACTGTGCATTATGGAATCGCCCTTAAATTTCAAAAGCTACCCAACTCCGTCCTTGCACGAGATACTTGGAGAAAACAGAGAAACCTCCTATCCACGCAATGGAATCCAATTCTCACCCTACACGACTACTTTTTGTCATGGCAGCTTAAAAGCCACATGAAACTACTGGGAACAACCTCAAAACGTGGCCAGGGGATTTTTGTTTGAGCAGTGCAAAAGATATTTTCTTATTCATCCTTTTCAATTGCAAAGGTTGTAGCCCAAAAGGAAAACGACGATGATCAAACGTATAATTTCTAAATTTAAAAAGCCATCTTCGATTGTAATACCATGTTGCATGATAACAGTGAAGTAGCAAATTGAAAACGTTAGCATGTGGCGAGAACAAATCTCTTGCCACAGAACTAAGGTATAATTACAATTACGCCCAGCCCAATCTACCATCATTTAAATTTGGCCAGGAGATTAAAAAGAGGTTGCTAGCACGCGACAGTCACGTGTCTGATGGAAACCGAAAATTCAAAGGCGGATTCTATCTCTCAAATTTAACCCAATTTCAGGAACCCGCCAAATCCAAGTTAGGCTCCCGTAATGCCCACAACGCAAAATGGCAATACAATCTGAACTGGCTGAGATCGATGGTACAGTGTCGTTAGTATTTTACGGAAGACCCTCTCGTCAAAATTCACATTATCTCCGCTCTCTTCTGTTAGTACCAAAAAGTTCAGAAAAACCCTAACTTATTGTGTTATCCCAGAAAACCACCCAATAACTGTCATAAACCGGCTCTGTTTCACTTCAATTCGGCTATTTCGAGGTCTTCGATGGAGTGAAGCAGCGGAGACCAGTGGAGAGCCCTCCAAGATCCAGGGAAAGAGACCCACGCAGTACCGATGGCATCTGCGGACAAAGAGCTCGAAGAGCAGCTCCGTGAAGCTGGAAATAAGCTCGTAGATCCTCCTTCTTCTGTCGACGAGCTCCTGCCCCTTCTTGATGTAAGCATGGTCTTTTGTTTCCTTTCAATTTCTGTTTTCTTGGGTTTTTCCCTGCTAGTCGAAGCCTTACTCGCGTTCTGGGGGTTTTTGTTTTCGTTAGGCCGTCATCTTCTGGGGATATAGGGTGTTTTTGGTGGTAAGGACTATCATGTATCGCATTTTTAATGGCAGGGTTCCCGTGTTTTTGTTAATCTATCTTAGGATCAAGGGAAATTTTCACCGTTGCATCCCCCTTAGTTTCCATATGGTTTCCATTTTTATAGATGCTTTCGGAAAATGAATCACTTCCGCCGGCTTTCCTGGAATTGTAAACAAGCATCTGGAATTGTTTAGGTTCTGACGTTTTAATCTTCCTTCGACTTGTTTCAGCCAACCCCGTTTGGCTATCCCTGCTCGGGAGAGATGTTATATAGCGCAAACGTTTTTGGATAAATGCTTTGATAACACACACACACACACACACACACAATTCTTACATTCACCTGCAATTCAATTGTGAATTTTATCATCAGTATTCTGGGATATATACTTCATATCTTGCTGCTTAAGGAATTACAAATATTTCTAATGCAAGCATTTATTGACTAGGTGAGTAGAGTAAGATGATCAAATCGAGGGTGCTGATATTGAGCCTTTTCAGTTTTTATAGATTGCCAGACTCTTAATACCGAGCATATGTAACATGCGTCCTTCTCTTTTCTTTTTTTAAATAGCAGTCAAACTTATTAAGACCCTGAAGGGTATGAAATTAAGGGGTTGCTGAGTGCTGACAATTATCTCTGGGATGGTATTGCTTGTAGCAAAAAAGAGGGTGATCTCTTGGGATGATGCTTAGACTCCTAAGTTTTCTACTGCTTTTTTTTTTTTTTAAATTGATTATTAAATCCAATTAGAAATACTATAGTTATTATTAAGCTGGCATGACTTATGTTCCAACTTTTAACAGTATACCTGGTTTATCTTATGCGTGTGCGTGTATATATATTTTATTTTATTACTCTATTGCTGTCTAGATGAACTATATTAGGTATATTGATATGTTTTTTCATATGCTCTTTTGTCTGGCGTCTACACTAACGTGAATGAGCAGCTCCTTTTTAACTAAAGAAACAAGATGCATTACATTACAAAGCAGGTTGTGCGGCCGTATGTGATTGTGCCACATACTAAAGCATTTGAGAACTGTTGCTGCTACTATTACGCTATGTCCTATTTATTGTTATGCATTCATTCCCAAAAGTAATTTGCATGGGGGTGCGCATGTTAGAGAAGACATTTCCACAAGCGCGTGTATTATTATTATTATTGTTTTTTTTTTTTGAAATTGTAGCAAATTGAGAGTTACCTATCAAGGGTGGAACAGTCTCCAACAAAATCTATGCAAAATGCGATCTCACCATCTTTGAAAGCATTAGTTGCTGATGAACTTTTGAGGCATCCAGATAACGATGTGAAGGTGGCGGTTGCTTCTTGCATCACTGAAATAACAAGGATAACTGCACCTGATGCTCCTTATGATGATGATCAAATGAAGGTGTGCTCTATAATTTCCCCCCTTTAGATTCAATTGACCCGGCCTTTGTTATGTAATTAATTATTTTAATTAAGAAATTTTAACGCCATAATTACTTGCAGGAGGTGTTTCAATTGATTGTATCTTCATTTGAGAATCTATATGATACATCAAGCCCATCATATGCTAGGAGAACATCCATTATTGAAACTGTCGCAAAGGTCAGATCATGTGTGGTAATGCTAGATCTTGAGTGTGACGCCCTGATTGTAGAGATGTTTCAGCATTTCTTTAACGCAGTTAGGTAAGATCTGTGGAGTATGAATCCAGCATAAAGACAGTATCTTATGCTTATCATTGTATATTTATGCTTTAACTTTATTTTCAGAAGTCTGTGAATACTGATGTGCTAGAATTTATTGCATTTGTAATGTAGTTTTGTATGTTCTGTTGAGCTGTCCTGTATAAAATTTTGGATGTGTTATAGTAAGATGGAGGCTTTGGCAAATTTCTAGGTGACCAAATGTGAATGGTGGATGAAGGTCCTTGTAATTGATTTAACCATTGTCTCTTGAATGTTATCTATTGGATTTGACTAATCCATTTATCTAATGATAAAGATGTAAATCACTGATTCTCCTCTTCCTTATATATGAACAACTAAAGAAACGCAACATTGTGCCATAAAATGAAATCCGACTAGCATCAAGGTGATGCTTCATTTTGTTCTGATCACTATTGTGTCACTCTGAGTTCCTTCGGCTTCTTGTGCTTGTAATCTTTCAATAAACTCCTTGCTGGCAGGTATTGACTGTTGGTAGTTATATTGTTTGCACAGGAGAACATTTGTGCTAAAATCCCACTGATTTATCAGTGTACTATCTTAATTTTGGAAGGGCATGTAAAATTCCAGTTCTGTAGAAGGCTGACTTTGTTTTTCTTGTTGAAGTTTGTTTGTACTAATAGATGAAATAAGGTGAAAAGTTCTATTATGATATACCAATGATCATGTTTTTTTTTAAAATTTGTGTCTTCACTAACAGATTTTATATGGTCGTAGTTTTTTTTTTTCCAGCAGAAAAGGTCTTATAAGCATTCAGCAGTTTATGTTCTTATCTCCCATACGTCTTTATCTAGTGACACATACATATATATATGGACATGGTGCTGAGCAGCTCCATTTGAAACTTCAGGGGACATCATCCAGAAAATGTTTTATCATCCATTGAGACTATTATGACCCTTGTTATTGAGGAAAGTGAAGAGATATCTATGGATCTGCTTTCTCCGATCTTAGCCAGTGTGAAGAAAGACAATGAGGTTTTAGTTAGATCATTTTGATTTTATTTGTTTTCAGGTATTATGATTTTGGAATAAAACTTGCCTTCATTGCTAAGATTTAAACCATTATCACTATGATTTAGGAATTTTCACCAAATGCTCAAAATTTGGGGGAGAGAGTCCTGGAAAGTTGTGCAACAAAGCTTAAACCGTACTTAGCACAAGCAGTGACCAACTTGGGCATTTCTTTAGATGATTATAGTAAGGTGCTTGCTTCTATATGTCAAGAGACGTCTGGCAGTTTGGAGCAAAATGATGCATGTGCTTCCAGCGAAAATGCGGTAGGCTCTTGAGTTAACTAATCTTGAGTTAACTTATTTTCCCTGATGGGAGCTTTTAATTTTCTTCTGGTTTTATTATATTGACTCCAGGCAGATGAGGGAAAGTCAGCAAAAGCAACGTTGAATGAGTCAACACAAGTACTTATGCATCTGCTTTTTTTCCTTTTGCTTCAACATTTCATCCTTCAGCATACTTTGGATTACGACTGAGCGTTGCAATGTGTTATAACTCTATTTTGATCAGGTGATTGGAGAGGATGCTGAAAAGGCTACCCCTGAACAAGTCACTGTTGTTGATGGTAGGTCTTCTAAGTCCGTCACGAGCAATGGCATTGTACAGTCCATTGAAGATGACGTGTTGGAAGATCCAAAGTCCCTAAAGAAGCAAGATGTGAATAATTCTGATCGCTCTAAAGGTGTGAATATATCAAGCAATGAAGATCCCGATAATGTCAGCACTAAAAAAGTTGACAGTACAGAACAAAAGCCAGTACAAGCCACCAGGAGCAGGAGAAAGAAATATCATTCTACAAAATTGGCAGAACCTTCTGAGGGTTCAGCTGTTACTCGTGACAGGGATGCTGATAAAATGCCTGACTCTAAAAGTAACAAGAAGGACCTTTGCAGTTCACTTCATGAAAACAATGCTACTGAGGGTGCAGGGCCTTCAGAGAATGACAAGGAGAGTCATGCTAAGATTTCATCAGGAAAGGTAGGAACTAATGAGCCTGAAGCTGTGGCTTCTCCCAGTGAAAGCCATCCTGATGAAATTCGTTCCAAAAAGCCTGGAAAAGCAAATAAGAAAGGAAGGCCGGCCAAAGAAGTGGTAATTTCCTCAGATGATGTTACCAAAAAGGTGTCAGAAGTAACAAGTGATTCAGATGCAAAACCTACCAAGCGGTCCTCCAAGAAGGCACCTGGTGGTGGCTCAAATGGGAAAAAAACTAATGTGGCGGATTCAGTTGAAAAAACAAGTGGGAATATGAGTGATCAGGAAGGCAAAAGGCGGTCAGCTAAGAAAGATGGGACCAACAAGGGCATCGGATCCTCTTTGAGGCACCTGAAGGAAAATAAGAGGCAGAAGCAGGACAATGTCTCTGATATGGATGTAGCAAAATCTGCTAAAGATGAAGAGAAGGTAACTCTAGAGCTTGCTGCTTGTAGCCTGTTTCTTTGATATTATCTGCCATCTCATCAAACTATTATCTATATTTTGCTCTTTTTTAGTCAATTGATTAATCAAATTGTCATGAAATCATCTAGGAAACTGTATCTTCACCAAAGTCAGGTACAAGATTGATTAAAGATGAACAGTGTTTGGAGGAAACACCCAAGACCAATTTGAAGAGGAAACCTACTCCGGGTCCAGGAAAAGAAAATGTATGACTCCCTGTTTCATTTTTTTAATCTTTCAATTGCAAAATGTTAACTGCATGATATCACGATGTATTAGGCTACTTAGGCTATGGAAACATATCTTCTGCAGCTATGTTATTTCTAAGCTAGACCTTTGCCATTATGTCAACTATTTTTGACCAATTTAAATGGCCATAGCTAACGTGGTGAAGTATCAGTATTTGATACGGTCTCCCTTGTATTTCTTCTGCTCTTTTTATGATGTGTTGAATTGTTTTGTTGTGAAATATTTTAAAGTTATTGTAAATGTAAGAAATGAGTTTTGTAAGTCTTTGTGTATGCTGGCTTATCTTGTTATGTGTTAATAATAATGTTTTTTAGTTCAAAGCATGTGGAGTTCCTTCCATTTATGCTCAATTCAGAAGTTTAATTTTCTTCCCGGCTTGATTGATAATTCATCTAAATGCTTTCTCAGAAGTCTGATATCAAGGTATATGATGGAAATCTTGTGGGCTCACGTGTTAAAGTTTGGTGGCCAGATGATCGTGAGTAAGTACTTGGCTATTCTTTTATCGCAGTGGAAATTTTGATGAGGGAAAGTGCGTTTTATTCTACTTTCCTTTGAATTATGGTCTCTTAGTTTTCATAAATAGTTGTTTGTGGATGTCTGTGTTATTCACCTATGGATGACCTTTTAATTTTGCCTCCTCTACCAATTATGTCATTGTATTTCTATACTCTATTTGCATCACTTAGATCACAAGTGTTGGTGGTTATTGTGACAAACCAATTTGTTCAATAGACATGTTCTGCACAAAGATGTCATTTTCTTGTTTATTTTGCTTGTCTTTCCTTAAATGGCCAAGTCTATTATTCCAAAATCTGATTACAATTAGCCCTAAGCTACCTATTTATAACTTTTAGCTACTAACGGTAATCTCTCCTACTTAGCCCCGGCCAGCTCTTGACTATCTTCTCTTATTTATTATTACATATCAAAAACATATATATATTGACAGAAATATGGCCTTTTTGTAGGTATTACAATGGTACCGTTGAGTCCTTTGATTCTGCCAAAAAGAAGCACAAGGTGATTTGAAAGTTACAAGGCTCCCCCTTCCCCACCCACCCTATTTTTCTGCAGCTTTTTCCCTTTTTTCCCGACAAAAAGTAATCTCACCCTTTCTTCAATTTTAACTATGGAAAGCAAAACTCATGGTGGTTTTTCTTTATGTACGTTTCTGACAGTGGTTTGCTATCTTGATTAGGTTGCATACGATGATGGTGATATAGAAATATTAAATCTTAGAAAGGAAAAATGGGAGCTTCTTCAGGTTGACTCTGAATCTTATTTAGGCGTCTGCCTTTTGTTTAGACTTTATCGATATCCAACATGATGTCAGTTATTTCCTTTAACAGGAAGGAGATGATCATGCAGGACCTGATGTTTCAGCTGATATGTATGTTTTATGTTAATTATTGTTGTTTAATTAAAGCATCCTATGTTTGCAAATATTGCTCTATCTCTTGCGTGGCGCTGATCTCTTTCAGAAAGTTGACCAAAACATGTCCTGAGGGTTGATGATTTTGCAGGGCAGGGTGGGGCTTCCCTTCCAAGTTCTCATCCCTATCTCGTTCTCTGTTGCAAGGGAAATTAAACATCTCCACACCCCCACCCCCCAAAAAAAGGAAAAGAACTAATCTCCTTGAGAATGCAAATGCAGAGGGATCCTTGCTGGGACTGAATTAAAAAAAAAAAAAAAACCTAAGAAACAGAAAAACAAATAATATTAAGTGAAGCATACATGTTTAGTGTGCCTCTGTTTTTGTTTATTCAATAATTAAACTGATGTATACATTAGGTATTAATATAGGCTGAAGCAAAACCTTAAACCAAGAATCCTAGATATCATATCCTTTACTGATTGTTAATGTCTTAGATTTATCCTCTTAAGATATAAAATATTAACAAGATATAGTACCTAAAACTAACCTAGGATATTATTAACGAAATAATGATAAAACATAAATACATTAAACATCTTTTTCTTCTCTAACCGGCAGCTTCAGCTCTAAGATCTCTAATAGATTGGGTGACCAGAAGTGGGTGAAAATATTTTGATTTGACATAAATATAAATAAAGAATATGATGGCTCAGAAACATAGTGGTAATAATGGAGCTGAGACCTTATGGGACACTTAATGATCCTAAGGTAGATTTACTGGCCCATCTTCATTCATCAATTTATGAGTTGATTATTTTCAGTCGTGTTTCAAAATTTACATTAGTGTAGTATTGTCTTTTTCCTATTGTAAAATTTCAATTGGATTTATTCCATTCGGTTGACTCTGGTGATTCTTTATATTGTTGTAGCAGAAAATACATGGTATGTTTTCTAACTGTATGTCTTGAGATTTTTCTGGGGCCTCATTCTCATTCTCTCTCTCTTTCTATGATTATTAATAGGCCTTCAAATAAGAAGAGGAAAAGAAGTGCTGGTCAGTCAACCAAGGGAAGAATTACGGATTCTCTTGCCAAGAGGTGTGGAAATCATAAATTAATTTCCTTGTCGTCCATTATTTGATATCTAGATTCTGAATTGTAAATGTTAGCAGTGGAGGAGCTGCATCCAGCAAATCGAAGGGCGCATCCACAAAGGCTGGCCATAAGTCGAAAGATGGCAGCAAAGTTGATAGCAAAGCCAAAGATTCCAAGAGCATCGGCAAATCGGAGGATGGCATTAGTAGAAAATCAAAGGATCATGGCTCGAAAAGTGGTTTCAATAAGTCGGCTGATGCTACACCAGTGATGACTGAATCCAACGACGTTGACACTCCCAAGGCCAGCAAATCAAAGAGCGATTCTAAGCCCAAGCAAGAAACCCCAAGAAAACCCAAGAAAGAAACATCAAGTACTCCTGCTTCTAAGGGGAGACCACCCAAAAGTGTTGGAAAGTCCAATGTTAATGCAACTGGCAAGGTCAAATCTGGTTCATCAAAGACAAAAGATGCCAAGAATGAGTTCTCGGCTGATTCAACAGAAAAGGCAAAAGACACGAAGGATAAGGGATCAAGTTCATCCAAGGCACAAGGAAGTGCTGCCAAGGCTGGAAAAAAGCGTCAAAGGGGCTAGAAATAGATATCTACTCATTGTGGTTTCCATCGAAGCTATTTGCTCGGCTTTGCCTCTAATATTCCATGCAGCATTTTCGGTATTTTCTCCGGGTCTGGGCTTTGTAATTTAATCTAGGCCGTGTATTACTCCATTTGTGGCGGATTAGTTATTCCCACAATGTTGCTACTTACTAGCATTGTTATCTATAGTTAGGCTAGGAGTTAGTATCTATCAATTTTTTTCACCTTGTTTCTAGGAAGACGTAATTTGGAGGCATTTTTCCGATGTGTTTGCAGGCAACCTAGCTAGTGTTTTGGTATATACGAAAATTTGACACAAACTCGGCGTAGTCATATGTTAAGCGGGCAACTCCACATGTCTCCGACCGTGGTGGTTTCCGGTGGGGTGGGTTGGGGTGGGGTGTTGAATGGTGGCCGTTAATTATCATATTGATATCATGAGTTGCACTTGAAGTTCCAAGGTGTCTGGCTGTCTAGGTCGGGCTATTCATTGTTTGCCGCCAAGGTGTGGAAATTGACTTAAATCAGAATAAGACTTCAGTAATAAACACAAATGGACGCCAAAATGTCTAGTAAACGAGCCAATGAAATTGTTTTAAAATTTTAGTTCGGGAGGTAAGTTAATTGGCGATTGGGCCTTGTCGGTCCATATTCGTTAAAGATTACTCACGGAGGCAAGAGACTCACAAGCCGTTTGCTGTAGAACTTGGCCCAAACCTGTTCTGGACACCCAAAAACTGTTGTAATATAAAATTATTAAACAATGAAAGATGTCTATGCCTGGCAAAGGGGGAAAATTTTTTTGCCATACCACATATTGGATTTTTCATTTTTGAAACACATTCTGTTCATATCTAGTCTATTTCCTCTTTACGTAAATTAAAATAATTAAGATGAGCTAAATTATTGTTGGCCCGAAAAAAGGTGCGGTTCATTTTGGCCTCCTTGAACTAAGGGATTCCGATATGAATGGAAAGCCCAATTATTATTATTTATTAGGCTTGTTGGACAAGGTCTATTGTTTCCATATCTCAAATTAAAATTCAATGTCTAACCCAAAAAAAAAAATTCAATGTGTTTATCGATAGCAGTTAGGTCTAACAGAAGATACTAATTTCTCACAATGTGGCAAATCAAGATTTGAATTCCCATTGGAAGGAGTGCTTATATTTAGTGTCCAATAGGCTTTCAATAGAAGGATACGTATGCTTTAGCAAAAAAAATCAATGCTTTTTATTTGTTTGTAATTTCTATTCCTTTTAGGTTGAGTGACTGCTTAATGAACAATTTACTCAAGAATCAACATCAAACAGGTTGTTTTCTGGGATTTGATCATATTGCTATGAAAGCAGCTTCAAATCTTACGGTCAGAACGTTAATCTAGTTGCCTGCAACTAGACTGTGATGCGAACAATGCTCGTTTTGAGATTTATATAAAATTATGAATATGCATCGATGCTGTAACGTATTTCACAGTCTTCTTTTAAAGAAAGTGCAATTTCATGTTATATGTTACTTCGAATTCGAACAATAAGACTGGATCATTTATAATCATCGTGGGTTACAAACTATCATGCGGTTATCAAAAGTGCTTTGTTTTTCCCCTATGCTGAAGGATAATATAAGAAAGTTGTGTCTTTTGTGATTCCATAATGCTTTATAAATTAGGATCCCCACAAAGCAATTATCTCGATTCCTACTTTCTTCAATTAAAACATCAAAAACAGTAGCAGCCTTTAAATAACATAAAGTTTTTATTTATATTTGATCCCAACTTTCTTTCAATGCATGGTTCCACTTTGTTTCAGGTATAAAGCATTTCAGTCGACTCTCTTAATATTTAATCCACTGATTCTAAACCTCTGATTATATACGTTTAAAAAAATTATGACATATTAAATGACTATATAACTGAATCATATGTGTTTTAGATAAATTAAGATCAGATGTAATCTAACCAAATAATATCAAGCTGAATTAATATAATTTATTCACACACGCACGCACAATACGTTGAAATAGATAGTGTAACCTATGCACGATATAGAGCGAAGCATACGGGCTAGATTAACTTGTACAACACATTTTGTTAGACAGGTTAGGTTGAATAAAGTCGGCTAAAATAAAAATTGGTTTTTCAGTCACAGTACTTAATTCAAGAGTTAAACGCGAGTTAGATTGTTTATTTTTCTTACTCCTATCATATATGATACAAAAAAAGGTATATCTATAGTTAAATACAATTATATGATTGTTTTATCTCTTGATGTAGATGATTAACATGGTGACTATGAATAATCAATGATTGAATTAATGTCAAATCCCATAAAAAATATTCAAAATTTGTTATGCTTATGATCAATTGAAAATAAACTTTTTATGATATTAGTATGATTGCAAGTGCGTCGTCCTTAATTATACAATGTGGCAAATAAACACGTATGTATTGTGTTATCGTAGTGTTTGGATGAAAAAAAAAAAAGTCAAAGCATTTTATGTTAATTATAAATTAATACTTAGAGTGAATATTAATTATATAATAAGGGGACTTAAATGGGTTCTATTGGTTAGAATATTAGGCTTGAAAAATTATTTAAATTTAAGAGGGAAACAATTTTATGTCGCTGGCAGGTGAAACCTCATAACCCACCAACCCATATGAGTTAACTCTTATAAGATGAGCTAAATTACTTTTTTTGAATGCTATATTGCCCATAAATAATGCTATTTATTATAATTATCAATGATTTGATTGTGGTTGGTTGATGATAAAAGATGAAGGCCTCATCCACATTATGTATATATATTCTTTGGTTTTTTGGTTGGTTGAAGATGGAAGAGGCCTTAATTTTCCTTTTGCTTTTCCATATTCATTCATAGTGGTTAAAAGGACGTCATTGATCGGTTCCCTTGCTGTTTGGTCAAATGTGGCTGCGAAAGCTAAGTTACATATATCACTTACCAGACCAATAAAAATAAAAGAAAGAGAATGAAGTTACATGTCATGCATCTTTAAAGAGAGAGGCTGCTAGATCGAAAACACTTGAAGATATGGTTCATGATTCATGAAGTAAAAGTGACTTTGCTTTTGTCTATATCTAAGCTGTACTGTCCCATATTTTCACACTTTTTCCTCCAATTAAATTACAAGTTGTAACCTTTTCATTTGTCCATTAAGAAAAGGAGTAGCATAACAGTGACAGAATTTGATGTAAGCAATAACAATAATCATAACATGTTGAAAACTTGAGAGATTTGTCAGTGATTAGATTGCTTATTTTCTTTTACATTTCTCGTCCTCCTTCAACTCATATGGCAGCTCCTGCATCTCTGCAATACACCCAACTAACTTTTTGCTCAAAAGACGTCCGAATATCCACTTGCAGAAAAAAACGAAGCATTAATATCGCACACATTATTACTGCGCAGGATAAAAAATTGTCGTTGGATATATGGATTGAGACATGTAAAGCCAAGAATTCAAATTTAAATGTGGGATGCCTATATCGAGATGCAAGCTGACACAAACACACACACACACACACAAGCATAGTGCAAAAGGTCAAAAGCTTAAATTTTTTATATGAAAAGATCAGTGAGAATGCACCAGTTTCAAAAATGTTGGTTATTTTGAATCCCTCAATGTATAGTTCTGGGGATGTGGGAAAGTGATGGGCTGTGGAAAAGAGTGAGGAGAAGATTACTGAAATGGCGATAGGTGTGGTGAGAAGTCGATCTCTTAGGTTTAGTTATCTATTTGTTGGAATGATGGTCCCTTCGGTGCATATATAAAAATATGGGAAGAAATAAAGAGAGTAGGTGGCGATGGAGAATAGCGAGCAAAAGGGGACAAAACATTGAATTATTTTTGCTTAGTAATAAATTTGTGGGGATGCATGTTGAGTGAGATTGCAGCGCAAACAACGGTACATGCAGCATCTATTGTCGATAATGCTGTCAGTGATTGTCATTTTTCGGTTCCAAATATTCACCCATCACACATGTTCACATGCTCATCCGTTCCCTTTTTTTCAATTTTATACATTTCTTAAAAAAATATTTACAAAATTGGTAAAAAAATTTCTGATTGAAAAATTTATAGTGTAAAAGTAACAAAAAAAAATTAAGTGAATTTAACTCATTTTTAGTATGTATAACTTTTTTCAACTTTATACAATATATCTTTAGTCATAGATGTCAATATTTTATGTTTCACATATAGTTGAACACAATTTGCATATAGTTAAAGAAAAGGTACACCCACTAAACATTGATTATTAAGACGTTTGGATTAACTTGATAGAAGTCATTTTACTATATACGAAATAAATATGTGAAAATAATTTTATTTTGATTTACGTGAAAGTATTTATTTTAAATGTTACTAGGAGTTACCAAACACCCCTATCTATTTTTTGCCAAAAAAAAAAAACACCCCTATCTATTGCATCCTAGTTTTAAATAAATTTCAAGTACCTTATATAATTAATTTTCTAGCAAGGAATTCTTGGCCTAAGAAAATTTCAAGTACCTTATATAGTTTTCTAGGCCACATTTGACATCCCACGACCAAAAAGGCTAAAACATATGCACTGTTTTTCGTTTAATTCTAAATCAAAATGTGAACTTTAATTTTGAAGACAGTAAGACCATGAAATATTAAACAAGTCCGCTATTTTTCAAGAGATGAAAATCAATTAGCTCGATAACAAACACATCCTGACTAATAGAAGAAAAATGTACTTAGTTACATCTAAAATCCTAACTAGTGGATGTAATACTTAATTAGTCTCAATTCCGTGCATGCACACACGTCATTGACTTCTTCAAAAACCGCATTTGCAAACAACGCCTGTAATTTAATGTGTCCTGTATCTTATATACTATTTCCACTCATTAATATATTCCTCTACTCCTATTTATAAATCATTTTCAACATGTTTCATACAGACTAAAGAAAACTTTATATTTCATTAACTCTTATTTAAAATTTAACAGCTTTTTAATTTTATCCCTATTTAATATACATTATACCTCATGTAAACAAAGTAAACATAATAATAAATGAAGAGTAAAATTGTACATCCAAAAAAAAAATTTCTCTCAGTGCCATATAAATAAGACAAAAAATATGTCTTCTCTCTCTGCCTTCTAAATAGGACCAGAGGAGTAAGGGCTAAAATTAAGAATTAAATTTGATCATAATTAAATATGAGATTTTAATATAATTTGTCTCCTAAATTTGTAATTCATTTTCTGAAGTATCTATATTGATTACATATATCAAGGATCTTTCATTCAATGATAGTCATGATTAAAA